CAATTCAGCCTGTCTTTTGGTTAACTTGTTATATAGACGAAAAGTTAAATTTAGCCGGATAGGAGACAAGCAATTCAGCCTGTCTTTTCATTAACTTGTTAGACTGTCTTTTCTTCAACCTGTTAACCTGTCTTTTCTTTGATTGGGCGCGTCGTTTTGAAAGAAATGGAAAGGTGATTTTATTTTGTGGGCGGGTCACGAAGCACCCACAAATAGAAAAATTCAATCCAACCGGCGTATGCCACGTACCTCTTCTTCCTTACTTTCTACTTTTTTAGGAAGCACTAAATATTGGGCCACCAACCCAAGTCTGGTTTGACTGGTTAGTTAGCTCTTTAAATTCCATGAATGTTATTTTTTATTCTCTTAAATTGTTCTATTCAAAAAAAAAAAAATCGTGTCATGTCCCATAACTTTATAACGAAACAGGAAGACAAAAGGCTGCTTTTTCGTTTTTTTTTTTTTCATATGCATTTTAGATGGACTTTGCATCTGAGCTGCAAACTTCTCGAGCTATCCTTTCTTTTTTTATTTTTTTATGATGATGTTTAGAGAGAGTTTTTATGTATTTTAAAATTAAAATTTTTAAATAATTTTAAAAATATTTATATTAACTTTATATGTTTAAAAAATTAATTTCTTTAAATTAATTTTAATATTTAAATTTTCAATTTAAATTACATTATGATACTTATTTGTTAATCAATTTAATTTTTGAATTAAATTTATACAGTTATCTTGAGACGGCCACGTATCGAGCATTTCATTTCTTTCCTTCTTTATATAAAAAATATAAATTGACTTAACTTGTGTCTCACATAGTTCTTTCATTCTTTTAATCATGTTATGTTAATTTAGAGATTTAAATGCAATATTTTTAATTTAAAATTTAAAATTTTTAACCATTTAATATATTCTTTTCCAACTTTAGTACATTAGTCTAACATTATGATTTTGTTTTTTAACGATGCTACAGTTGTAATTATAAGATTTTTTTATCTCTTCAAAAATATAATATTAGTAGTATTAAAAATTAATTAAAAATGTTTGCGCCAAGAATTGTCAAATGAAGTCTACATTGTCTTGGATTTTTTTTTTAAAAATTTTGAATTGCATAATAAAAATAATTATTTTTTA